ACTTAACGTTGATATACGTGCTCATTTCTATTGGTGACAAATCATTTTACAAATTTTATCTACAAATTTAATCTCCAGCCCTAACAGTACCCACATGAATAGGACGAATGACTAAATTGGCTCAGTCCTTCGTTGCTTGGTTTATACTTCATAACACTAAATAAGATCTCATTAGCTCAAAATGTGATTCACTGGCTCAAGAACTTGTCTGCACTAGAATACCAGATACATATCCAATCTATCCACATCTCAATATTTAGTCATGATCACAGAGATACAGAAAGAAGAGTTATGAACACGATGCATGCAAGTTTCTTTCCTCATGACCCTTGGTAGCAACAAAGGAAATCTTTGCTTCAAGAGTCATGCTACTATACGTCTATATAGTGGCTCAAATTAATTCACTCATTAAATTTCTCAAAATTCTTCAACGGTTAACCAATCGTTAATTCAGCAATATACATATGCATTTACGTGCTATATAATTTTCTTTACTTGAGTTGAGGTGAGAGTACCAATTTTAAGATGGAAGAGTGCTAACATTCTCATTTGAAAATCCTCATATTACCTACTTGACTTTTCTCATCTTGCAGCATTATGATTCAACCCATTTGTTTTCTATACATGACATCCTTTAAAGAACAACTCTACTTAAAATTAACCAAATTTGAAAAAGCATTATCTCATTTAAAGGTTCTATACATCAATCATTTCTCAAGGCATTTCTTTAGACAAAGACTTTGTTTTTTCCTCTTTTAAGATGGTAAATATTTTTCATACTTGGAGTGTGAATAAAACTCATGTTTAATCATTAGTCATCTAACGGTTATTTAATTAATAAATTAACTATGTTATTTAATTAAATACTAATTTGATTAATTTTTGAAAAGTTAATCATTAAACAGAGAACTAAAAGTTAACGATTTTCATCATTACACAACATTAGAAGATGAGAATGAAGATCGAAAACTAAAGAGTAATATTTAAAAATAAAAAAAAAACTATATAGCCAATTAGCCATTTCGTCAATCACTCAAAATTATGAAAAATGAGTGAGAGCACTTGTCAGTTGTTTGAGGAGGATAGAGAATGAAAAGGAAAAAGACACCACGTCCTTCCAAATCTTTATACAGCCTTTTCTATCATGCTAAAACCCAGTACTACTGCCATCTCTCTCTCTCTCTCTCTCTCTCTCTCTCTCTAGGGTTCCACCAAACGAATATCTTCTATTTTTCATGGACCCCCCCCCCTTGTTCTCTAATCTTATAAAATTATTGAACCCAAAAGGAGTACTCTTTTATAATATTGTATAATCCAAATTTTTGAGAGCCCACTTTGCTGCGTGAACTCCACACTCACAGTGCAGTACACAGAGCGTCTCTCTGCATAAATCGAGAGCTCACGGTTACCTTTTCATCTGGATCATAATCCCCCATCAGCATCACACAACACCATTTCCAGAGAGAGAAACTCCCTCTTCTAGAGAGAGAAAGAGAGATAGAAACCGAAGAAGAAGAAGAAAACTAGTCTTTTCATCTGGGTTTCTACTAATTCCACTTCTCACTCTAATCTCTGTTCAAAGTTTGTGGCTTTACTTCTGTTTAGGTTTGAGGAGAAGAGAGCAAGTGCAGCCTTTCTTCGCCTCTGAATATTTTCAGAATCTCTTCCTTTCCTTGTTTTTTTCCAACTTTTCCCAGTTCATAATTTCGAAAAACAAACCATAAAGTTGTCACCTTTCTCAAACAAAAAACAAAACCAGATTTTAAAGTCCTCACCTTTAATCATTTTTCTCCAAAACAAACAAAACAACTTTACTCCAAAATGTCATCATTTCTTCCCACCTCCTCTCTCACATTCTTCCTCCTCCTCCTCCTCTTATTAACATCCAGCTTCCACATTTCCTTCGCGGGTCTACTCGCCGAACCTGTGACCGGTAACCCGCAGCCGCTCAAACCGGGGGAAAACTCCACTCCCAACACTGTCCCCGCCTTCCCAACCCAGAACCCGACCCAGACCTGCCACCTTGACCTCTCCGCTGAGCTCTTCGGCGGCGTCAGCCAAGCATGCGGCCGAAACCTCGACCGGAGCCGATGCTGCCCCGTTCTAGCCGCCTGGCTCTTCGCCGCCCACGCCAGATCAGCCCTTGAGCTCCCCTCCTCGGCTCCGGATCCGTCGGCGGTGCCCGACCAACCGATGATGCCGGACGACTCGCAGAAGTGCGTCAACTCGCTGCAGTCTTCGCTCGTCAGCCGGAACATCCGGATTCCTCAACCCAACGCCAGCTGCGACGCCGTTCTGTGCTTCTGCGGAATCCGGCTCCACCAGATCGGATCCCTCAGCTGCCCCGCCGCCTTCAACGTGTCGCAAGGGTTCCACAACGCCACCCCCACCGCCGCCCTCAGGAATCTCGAGAAGAACTGCCGCAACTCTTCATACTCCGGCTGCACCAAGTGCCTTGGCGCTGTCCAGAAGGTATAAAAAATGATTCCTTTTTTTTTTTTTTTAACTATCAGAATGCCCTCTGACTTGCCATCTAATTACAGCTCAAGGGAGGGAGCAAGAACGGAACGGCGGGGGACAGGAGCACGAGCGAGAGAGCGAACAAGATGTTCAACCGTGACTGCCAGCTCATGGGGCTGACGTGGCTCCTCGCCCGGAACAAAACGGCGTACATTCCGACCGTTTCCGCCGTGCTGCGCGCCATAATGTACAGTGCGCACCCGCCGCACGAGAACATGTGTAGCCCGGACCAGGAGAACATGCCGCTTGCCGTCGATTCGCTGCAGATCGAGAAGGGGCAAGGGTTCGCCGCATCATCGCCGTCCATTTTATTGTTTCCGATTCTACCCCTGATCATTTGGGCGTCTCTGTTTGTCTAAGGGAATCCGGGGGTGTGGTTCTGCCCAATTTTTTGGTTGTCCTGTCGTGTCGGGTCACGTGATGCTAGTGGACAATACGGGGCTGTTGGGTTGTTTTTGTCATTTTTCCCACTGTAAAAATTTCAGCTCGGTTTCCAAATTGTAGTCAAAATTGCAGTAGTACAGCAGGGAAGGTCTTATTTCATTTACCCACATTTCTTTATTTACCTCTGCGATTTGTAACCTCTTCTTTCTGCCAAAATCCAGAATTTACCTAATAAGGGGTTGGTTGAAGTGAAATTTTTTTGAATAACATATGAGTGCTATATAGTATATAGGTTAGGAAAGGACACTTTTGGTGAGAAAATTTGATAACTGAGTTCCGAATCATGGAAGACGAACTTATGTGAAATTGGGACCCTAAAGTAATAATTTCTCAAACTAATCATACGACGTCACATGAAAAGTTCCAAAAGCGGAGGTCCTGTGAACAGAGTTCCAAATTTTTGTCAAGATCGTCGTTGAATTGCCCTCTAAATCTAGAATCATACAGCGGAACTACAAGAAGTGGAGCTCCCACTCTTTCAGTCGAGCGAAGTGCATGATTGTTTTAAAATATCGTCATGCAGACATTCTGAAGTTCCTTATGGGAATTTGTGGTAAACATTGTTTGGGACTTGGGGGTTTTTACGTGAAAGATGTTGAGTGAAGGCTTGGGAGCAAGAGTAATCGCTATAATGGTAAATCACTTGCATTAAATATTATTTTGATTGATTTTGTTCATGGTACTGGGAATTTCTGGAGTTGCATTAATGGTAAATCATTTGGGATTTAAGAACCCAAAGGGAAAGGAGCAAGAGAAGTAAAGAAATAGGGGGTGCCCAATGCTCATTTATAACATAGAAACTCCCCAAAACTGAGTATGTTGGTCGCACAGTAAATGCAAAATTTTGGACCTAATATTTTGGATTATAAAACCCAGGACATTGTAACTTGAGGAAGAACTAGAAATGGATTAATTTATAAATTGTTTTTGGAATCTGGAGGATGAAAATGCAGTTTCACATGTTATAGGGAGCGAATTGCGGATGAATGATTGTCTTTGTCCTCCATTGGATAAATGTTTTTGTGTTTACATTGAGTATCGTGTTTGGATTCAATTTTGGTTTGGTTTGGTTTGATTGGACAAATACTATAAACTATTTCATCTTTGTGCAATCTCCACTTGCGTTAAACTTCAGATTGAAATGAGCAAAAATGCTGAAGTAACCACACAAACTTAATTAACCACACAAACTTCGGATTGTGTGATCCATCCTCTCTTCTATTGAAATGGAAAATTGAATTTGAAAGGGGTTTAGTCGCGTGGAATGGTAGTGTAGATGAAAAATATTTAAACGTAGATGAAAAATATTAAGTTGAATGTTATACAATTAAATTTAAACTTAAAAGGAGCTCTAACAGATATATCAACTTTATGTGAATTAACATAAGAATTCTTTGCTGCCAAATTTGAGATATGAGGAAAGATGCTGTTAGTTAATTTTTTTAAATGTTCTGTTGTGTGGATCTCATTAATGCACGAATGATAAATCATGAAAATTTATTTTAATTAATTTCATTTTAAAAATGAAACCTACAAATAATATTATAACAAAACAAAAAAAACATTATGATTGGATGAACAAAAAATTGACCTTAACACTTCAATCATCAAATAGTATTTGACCTTCATCTTTTGACATCTTCATGGAGATGCTCCACATGACTAAAAGTGAATGGGTTGGCACCGGATAATATGGTCGGTTTGATCGGTTTTGACTTGGTCTAATCATTTTTCTTCAACTTGGAAATGAGGGGGAGAGAGAAGGAGCCGGAGAGGAAATATAGAGGAAGAAGGGGAAGGAGAGAGAGAACTCAGAGAAGAGATTGAGAGCCGGACAAGGGAAGAGAAAAAGTGGCGAATGGAGAGAGAGAGAGAGAGAGAGAGAGGAAAGAGAGTACGTTTAATGTGCAATTGCTTTTATCTTTTCTTCTTTTTTTGCTAACAAAAAGTTGAGATGCGGGGGAAGTTGACCTATCTAAAGTCAGAGCATATCATAAGTGTCTGGATGATTTACAAAGGAAGTCTTAGCTATTTTTTGATTTTCATCGCTTACCAAGAGATATTGTCAGTGATCAGATTCAAACTTAAATCTTGAACTAGCGAAGAAAATAATTCTTATCAACTTAACTAATCCTTAGTAGCGCAATTATTTTTATCATTTGTGTAGAATGACTAACAATAGACATGCAAAAAAAATATATCAAAAGATTTTATAACTGATCGAGTTCAATTTTATGTCACAAAATTGGGAAGTGTGAAGTGGGAGCCAATCCCTTTTATTCCCAATTTCCTCAAAAAACAATTTTACTGTACATGTATTACAGTTCACTAGTCCCAAAATACAAGACAAAAGCAATGACTTACTTCCATCCTTCCTAAAAATGTCTTGTGATAAAAAAAAAAAAAAAAGGAAAAAAAAAAAACTCTATCGTTTTCTTACTCATTAATCAATGAATCACCAATAAAAAAGAATCATAAATCCAGCATATTTTCTCCTGGAAATCATGACCATTAAAAAAATCACAATCTTCAAGTGAGCTAATACCATATCCATCCTTTACCAGCCCTTGCCTATAAGCCACAACCAGTCAAGTACCACCCCTGCTAGTATACCTCCAAGCAAGAACAACACCAGAAGATTTCCCAAAGCATTTTGCTCCGGCCCCTGCAAACCAGAAAAAATCCGACAAGTCTTTACTTTCAACTCGAAAAAACTGTTAGGTTTTAGTAAAATGAAGTTCACAAACCCTGTAGCCCTTAGGTGCTGAAGTAAGGACGCAGACGGTGAGGTAACCATTGGTTAAACCTAAGAAGGATGTCAGCATGATCATCCAGCCTTGGTCACCATACTTGGCTGTGAAGTAGAAACACGGGACAAGTAAGAAGCGCGAAAGAATGACGGTCATGAGCCCTCTCCGCGATTCCAACTTCAGGAATTTCACTAGCGGAATGTATCTTCCGATGAGATCACACACATTGTACAGTGCAATCAAAACAAGTGCATACCTGACGAAGAAAAAGCATGTGCAGTCATATAAGCATAGAACTGAATGGAACATAAGGGAAAGGTGACATTTTGGCAATGCCTCTTAAGATTAGTTCTCTATTCCGATTTGCCTCTTGAACTTTCGACTTCATTCGGAGGCTCCCTAATTAATCATTTGCTAGGATCGGATATGCCCCCATACCTTCAAATCTGTCAATTTTTCTGTAAATTGAGTGTTACTTTCGTCCATTCAAGGAGGGGAAAACTAACGAAAATTGCAATAAATTTGATGGTGAGTGAAATTATTAGCACATCTTAAAAGATATGGGGATCAGAAGATCAAATTGAAAGTCAAGATGGAAAACCGAAAGAAAGTCATAAGTTCAAGGAGCACTGGTAAGATCTGAGACGCAAACATGTGATAGATTATGTTCACTACATACCATGTTCCCAAACTGTGAGATCCAGTGTCCTCTGATAAGAATCCGGGGGATATTGACAAAGTGAGTGTATAGATTAGAAACATGTCAAGTGCATAATCAATGTTTTGAAGCAACAACTGTTTGTTTCCAAGTCGATCACATTCTCTAAGATTCTCCTCATCCTGCTTCAAATTGGGGTGTTTTTTTGCAGAACATTAGAACATGAATGCTTGGAAAACTTTGTAAGCAAATAATGGACAAAATAACATACTGTTGCTTCAGCCAATGTTTGGATGCCACCAGCGGCAAGGTCAGCTGAAACAGTTTTAGATCCTTCGGAAGCTGCCTTAGAGCGATAGTACTTAACAATTGGCAGTTTTGGAAAAGAAAAAGCGTAGAGGAGAATGCAGAGAAGCTCAAAGAATGAAGTGATGGCAAAGAACAAAACTGCAGCGGACAGTGAAAAATAAACAGTCTTTAGTTAGAGGTCCAAAAGAAAACCGTAAAATGTTCAACAAAATATCAAAAACTGAGAACTAAAAAACCTACTGGCTCCCTTTCTAAGACCATTTTGGGAATTCTCAAATGCTGCCTTTGTAATCAACCTCAAAGCAGAGGTTAGAGCTCCTGATGCAGCCAAACCAGCAAGGAAAGACTGAAAAGTTTGAAACAAGAGATACTCAGAAATTTATAACAACTTCGTAAACACGAAGGACAACAAATATTTAGCACCGAACGTGAAATTGTGGAAAGAAACAATACTGACTTGGATGAGCTCTACTGGCATGAAAGAGAGGTCTCCAACCATTCCTCCTAGTACATGAGCATCTGCAATTCCAAAGACAGCGCTAATTGCACAAATTCCGATGAAAGTTCCAAGACCTCCTTTCCCGGATGTGGCTAAATCCAACTGTACCAGAATCAAGAAAATTTTAAAGGCTTAACCAATGCTAACATTTTGTGAACTTAAAAAGTATACTGAAAATATTGTCTTTGGAGATTTGAAGGGAACTTACAACTAGCACCAACAGAGAACTTAAGAAAAACAGAATGTATCCTAATAGGTTTCGCTTCCTCGTATTGATCTTTGCCTCATGGTATGACAGTACAATGATTGTTAAAACTGCGAATGGCTGGTATACCACTGTAAGTACCCTCGAGGGATGGTACCGCTGCACCCGAAAAAAAAGGAAACAAAACTTAAGGGATGAGGCATTTAATCTAACTTCAAATGTAACAAACTGTCCAAACACACTGCCTACTTTCACATGATTCAAAAGCAAATACGGGAGATTATGAACTAACAGGAATAGTGAGAACAAAAATTGATTTATTCGGGCAGTTACCGGGAACAAGTAAACATAGTAATCTACAATTGTGAGCATGCTGTTCCATGAAAAGAGGCATCCATTTCCAAGAAGCCAACACACTACCATTGCAGCATACTTCCCCTACAATTAGAGAACAAATCCTTATAAGGAATTGATTCTACGCTAATCGGGAGGCGGATTCGAACTTGGGTGCAACAAATTCGTTGTAGCGTAAAGGAAACAAAAGAAAGGGCAGCAAACCTCAAGCTTTGGTGGGGGTGCATTTACATCAGGGCTTGCCATTACTGCTTCCTTTCAACCAGCTTTCCCTACATAGCGAATGCCCATGGCTAATTAGCACAGCAATATATAATAGCCCACATGATTAGAAGTAGTTTTTTTTGGAAATTATTCATCAATGGCTAGTTTACAGTGATTATCTCCGGCTATTCATCTTAAATTTGCTGCTCTGGCAACAAAGTTTCTGCTCAATCTTGTCGAGAAGGCATTAGACATTTAACTAAGTATTGGTCCATCTTTATCTATAAATTATTTCGAACTTCAAAATTGAATTTGTAGACTTTTAGCCAGAAGTTTCATTGTAAAATAGAACAATGTACGCATATGTAAGTTAGGTCAGTTGAATATGACAATGTGTCATCATTCTTAAACACTCATGTATGGATTCCCCTCCACCATGAACTAAACTAATTTAGGATATCTCTGGGTGAAAACAAACAATATATGTTATTCTCAACATCTTAAATTTTAATTCTATGATGTAAGAAGCAACAAAAGTTGTAAGCTAAACAAACCCGTTACAGGTTAGTGGATGCAACAAAAAACCAAGCACTCACCTTTGACTTTCTTTCACCATTATGTTTCATAAACATGCAAAACCAAAGCTTTATCCACAAAAGGAGAGGGGGAGAGAGAAATAGAAACTTACTCTTAGAAGAAGGTGGGTGGGATTTGATATGTATGGAATGGACTGTGACTCTGTGGATTGTTTTATCAGAATCTGAAATTTACGTGCAATTTGATTCTCTAGTATCTTACATATCCAATGAGGAAAAAAGGCCCTTTTCTATCAAGAATGGAATCCTATGAGCCGTCAGCTGTGCAAACCCAGAAATAAGAACTCGCGGGTGTTTGGTTGCACGTGTAAAACTCAAATCCTATGTTTGCGTTTAACTTCTTCTGGCATTGTGGCATCCAGCGTTGAATGCATGCAGTCATTCATTCATTCATCAAAGTCGTTAAAATTCAGGAATCGCAATGAGATAATGATCCAATCCAATACAATTCAATGACCAAAATTAAATGTCAACCGCATTTAATTTCCCGGGAAAACATCTTAATAATCGCAACAGAAAATTAAAATTAAAATTTGAAAAATTAAAGAAGAATAATTTAAAGGCTCGAATTGAAGAGGATTTGGACGTTTATGGCCGGTTATTTGGGTTTCCATAAAAAGACAGAAAGGAGTGAAAGTCCATGAAAAGGGACGTTTCTGCGTTCACAATTTAGAGGGCGTTGACGCTGCCGTCACGATGCCTGTTTCTCTCTCATCCACTTCCGCATTCACATTGGTAATACTATATTTAATACTTCATGGGATTCTTAAAAGGGTTGTGACCAAAATGAAAAACATGTCGTACACAAGGTTTTAAGTATTTGATCTTCACAGAAATATCGACGATGGAATTTACAAATATATCAACAGATATTTCGATACCGAGTAACTTAGGATCTTTGGAGTGAGCTTTGTTGTAACTACAAGGCTTATTTATATATGACTTTTGCAAACAAGTTTTAGAGGCAAATTAAGTTTGAAAGATAATGCTCCTATCATGTTATATTTTTCCTTTCTAAGTATACGGATATAACAGCTCCTCAGTGAAGTATTAGTTGAATAAGAACGTAGATCGCCAGAAAATATTGGTATGCCTCTATGAATCTCAAGGACATGTGAAGTGTATCTAATATATGCATTAGTTGCATCCACGAGATAATTACATATTTAAAGAGAGATGCATAAGCTTGAAAGCCAAAGACAGGTAAGGGTCATCAAAATACTCGGACGGGTAGTCTTAAGTTATATACTATCTATCATCTTCTACTTGTTGATCATAAGAAAAAAAAAAAAATCATAGTTTTTATCATGCATAATTCTCACAACAATTTGTTCATTTTTTAGAGCTTGATGTTGATAAATTCACAGATCTAGAAAATTCATTTTGGACAATTGAGTTTTCTCAAATTGTTTCTTTTTAAGAACTAAAAAGATTTGTGCCAAAATAACAATGCAAAGAAGAACAAAAGACCTAAACAAGAAGTTCCAGTTATGGAGGGATAATATCAGCCACTTGACGTCTATACGACGCATTTGTTATGATTACTTTGTAACAATCCCCCCTGCTCTTTCCCTTTTCATATTATTTTGCTTACTATATCTGCTGTTGTAGCATTATAATTTTTTGCTCCCATCGAGATAAATGGGATATTTTAAGAAGTGCACATATGTGACAGCCCGTCCCGAATTATTTTTATTGATGGTGTGAAAAGACTAAATTGCCTTGGTGTTGTGGGTGATATGTTTTGGTTGTGGTCCAATTTATGCTAAGTCCTAATTGTTTGGACCCAATTGGAACTAAATTTGTCCTAGTTTGTGGTTGGTTGTTTTGTTCCCAACTAGGACTACACACACACACACACATCCAATCCCGTTGACCCTCTCTCTCTCTCTCCTCCCTCTCGGATTTTTTCCATTCGTCTGTACACTCGTACGGTCATCTCCTCAATTCTCGTCATCTCTCACAAATCAAGGTGTTTAAGACCACCATCGTACTCCTCGTGACTTCACGAGTTGAGTGATACCTTTGGGACGACGAATGGTTCATGGGAACTCAAGTTACCCAAACTCCGGTGAGGGATGATTTTCCTCCGACGTGATCGCGAGGGTTTTAAGTGGTTTTGAGACTTAAGAAGGTAATACTCTTGCTTTTCAAGCACGTGGGTTCAATTTTGGAGTGGTTTTGACGTAAAAACACCCGGGTTTATTTAGTTGCAGGGTTTAGTCGGTTTCCTCGAATTTTTCCGGCGAGATTCCGTTGGTTTTAGGACTCCAAATTCTCATCCTAAGCTTCATTTTGGTACAAATTTCATGAAATTTGGTTGAGAAATGGCGAAGATATCAAGCTTTGAAAACTTTCCAGTTTCCGGTGACACAGACGGCGGTCGGCGGCGGAGTCCGGCGATCCACCGGAGAAGAAAGGAGAATATTCTGTCAACTTTAACCGAATATTCCTAATAGCGATTAACGGCGTCAGGTATGTTTAACGGAATATTCCTAACGGCAGTTAAGTTTCCGTCAGGGTTGGCCGCGCGTGAGGGTGCGTCTGGCCATGCCCTTGCCGGTGCGTGGATGGTCCAAAAATTATTTTACAAATATGAGAATGTTCGTGGTGTTGAGTAGATCACGTTGGTATATTCAAACACCCCATTTGAGCAATGTATGAGAAGTTATTAGCTAGTGTCGTTTATGTGCTTTAATATAGTTGTTTCGCATATAGGTGAAACCTATCCTCAGGTTGAGCGTAGTCAATCAAGGCTTGGGGGCTACAACCCTTCCACATACCAGTGAGTGGGCTTTTGGTTTTCCGTATATACCTATATACTTGGGATTTTTCCCAGAAAATCGATTTAAATGAAATTATAATTGAAATGACATGCCTATTGATTTATACTTAGACTATAAGTTAGTATAGTATGCATATTGTGATTTGACGCTATGGACGCTCAGGTAAGTACTAGGTGAGTTATAGATTGTTAATGTAAATTGGTTGATTATGTGAGATATGTTGAGAGCTCCTAAACCTGCACCCCGGTGTTAGTGATCCCGCCTATAGTTAGGGCACAATCCTTCACGTGATGTTCACCTCCCGCACCATACGCTCAACTTGGATCCAAGTTAGGTGCTCAGTCTTGTTGTATAGACCACTATAGGTGGTTCTGACTCGTAGGTGACTCGTGATTATTCGCACAGTCTTCATGTGATCGTAGCACTTAAACGTATTTATTTACACATAGTCCTGTCGTACAGACCACTTTAGGTGGTTCCGACTTGTGTGCAAGTATAATTGTTGAGATGTGGATTTGAGCTGTACAGGTCACGTTAGGTGGCTCCGGCTAGATGGATGAGCTCTAGATTCAGCCGTATAGGTCACGTTAGGTGACTCTGGCTGACATATCATTTGCATTGATTTATATTACCTGACTTACATATTTTTATGCTAAGATATTCGACATGGCATATTTGTGAATTTTGCTATTCTGAGCATGGTTGTGGTATAGATATGTATTCTATTTTCTAGGAAATTATACAAGTTTTACGGCGATGGGTTACAATCTTTGGTAATTGAAATGGTTTTGAAAGCTTTGTTTTTGCCCACTCACACTTTCTATTTTGCGCCCCTATAGGTTCTAGTTAGGAGTGTTTTGTGGTGGCTTGCGAGAAATCCACGGCAGCTTTGACAAATTACCACCATTGTATGGTCACCTTTGGGTGTTGTATAATTAGTATTTGTCTTGCTGGACTGCACTCAGGCTATTTGTGCTCTGGTTGTGAATTCACACTTATTTTATCTTACACCTTATCTTATCTAGTGCTCTAGTTAGTTTGGTTTTTATTTATTCGCATTTCTTATATTTGTATTGCTTCCGCACCGTGCACATAACTACGTCACCTTCACGTGACGACCAGCACGCCTTGATTTCGGTCGAGGTGTGTCAACATATTTCTTAGTAGCAAGGTCTGAGAAAAGAATAGAAAATGTAATTTCACTATATTTTTTTAACCAAGAATTGGACCTATCACAATAAGATTTTTTCTAGTGGGACGATAGCTTTGAAAAGACAAATTTCCTATCTTTTCTTTAATTTCAGGCGAAATACGATTAGGAATGGCTAATTCAAAGCTCCTTTTTTTTACCATTAGCATGAACTTGTTTTAGTATCATAAGGAATGCTTCTCGTGGATATTTACATAATCCAGCCGCTTCATTTAATTGGTATAAATTCTAAATTTTGTGAAAGTAAAAATTAGGTTCTCATCCTTATTTTTCTACTCCATTAATTAAAACCTTATTCCTTTTCAAATTTTGATCGAAGTCCTCCGATTTTAATAAACGCCATTAATTATTCAAAAACAAAATATTTACATGTCAAGATAATTAAAGTTTTATTTTTTAATATAGGGAAGTGTTATTGGCACTCTTAAAATCTCATTCTACACTTCTCACAAGTGTATTTTTCTTTCTTAATATAGAAAGTTTGGAGTGTAGAATAAGATTTTTGGAGTCCTAATAATAATTCACTTAATATATTCATTTAGTGTTAGAAACGTTACATTTGATATATTATATTTATGGCTAAACTTTTTATCATATATTTCTATTTCTAGTTTGTACCCATTTTTAATTTGCAACCATTTTTTAAATTATACCATTTTTCTTTTAAATTTTAATTTGTACCCATATATTAATTTCTTTTTGTCCCTTATTTTTTAAACTTTTATTTGTACTCATAATTTTTTGAACCTTTTATTTGTACCCATAATTTATCTATAATGTACCCATTTTTTTTTTTTTTAACAAATGTACCACTTTGTCATATGTAAAATGTATCCCTATTTTTTTTGTAAGCACCATTTTTTATGCAGAAGGTACCCATTTATTTTTTAATCTAAAATGTACCATTGTTTTTTTTTTTTTTTTAAATATAAAATGTACCCATTGTTTTCTATATAAAATATACCCATTGTTTTCTATATAAAATGTACCCATGTTTTTATGTAAATGTACCAATTTTTTATATATAAAATATAACCAAATCTTATTATATATATGTACTCATTTTATAAAATTAAAAAATTAAAAAATAAAATAAAATCCCTTTTTTTATAATCTAGAATGCACCCATAAGAAATTATTATTATTTTTATCAAAACCCATAAGCAATTTTAAATAATTAAATTGTAGTGTAAATGAAGCAACAAAAAAAAAAAAGGGTTGAGTTTTTATTGGCATTATTGCATCTATTTTATTATTATGTCATTTATGTAGCAGGAGAGGGAATTCAATAAAAAAATCTAAAATGCATAAAGTTTGAGTCTACAACACTTACGGACCAAGGACAACAACTAAACTATCTCTTTGTAAAACCTTTTGAGTTTTTCAAATTGAATTTGATACTTATCATATATAAATTGTTAAATAGTACAACAATATGACTCTGCTAGTTCAACAAATAATAAATGAATTTATATGTAGATTAGACTTTAGTATGTTTGCAGATAGTGACGGAGCTAGAATTTTGTCACAATTAGCGCATGATAATTAAAAAGCTCCCAACCATACAACCCTTAGAGATCTTAATTCCCAATGGAACACCGCAGAGGAACCCTTCAACTACAGGACAGTACAATCCAATAGGCTTTGCAAAAGCCAGTATTATACATAAAGAGAAGATCAGAAGATGGCAAATAATTAGGTCCTCCTTGCACAGATACACACACACACACACACACCTATACATATGAGCTTCAAATTAAACCAACATGAATCTTATGATACAAGTTGTTTATGAACGAAGCAAAGATATAGCGAAACATTTCAAATTACGTATTTTCATAGGAGTTGCTTTATGATTTTAAGCCCACCATGGATCTTCGCCGGTTCTGAAATCGGTTTCAACCCATGGAACAAACACGACCTTCCCATCATCAATATCACAATGAGCCAACGCCAGAGACTGTTCCAACAGAAAGAAGGTAAAGAAGCAAGCTTTTATCATATGTAGCATGCGGCATAGATATATGCAAATTGCAGCATGGAAACTATTGTGGACATAGCAATTTTGTATGATCGGTTAGCCTTCATCATAAAACCAATCGGTTTAACACCCTACTTGGTTACAACCTTACGCTACATTCTTGGTTAATATATCATCAAGAAGAATTTGAACTAGCAAGAGTCGATAAAAGTGTAAATAAACTCACCAAAGGAGCAGGTCCTCTGACAACTCTTCCTTGGTCATTGTACTGGGATCCATGGCAGGGGCATACGAACTTGTTCTCCGCCTTGTTAAATGGCACGACACAGCCAAGGTGAGTGCAGACGGCATTGATTGCATATGTGGCAAGAGTTTTATCTTTCTCCACAACAAGGTATGTAGGATCACCCTGACAAGCACAGCAAACAATCAAAATTAATTTACCTTCTAAAGATATGCATCCCAAATTTCTCGATCTGACTTTGGGAATGGTTGATCACAAAATAAAAGTATCATTAATTCATGATCCCATAATTCTGCTGCTTGAATTGGAAGTCTGACTTGAACTTTTCATACAAATTGCAATAAGGATATGATAGTCTTAAGATATTGAGCTTCATCAGTAACATGTATCAGTACCTTCAATCCTTGTGTGAGGGTCCTGTCACCTGGTCCATGAGTCTTAAGCCATTCAGCTGCAAGCACGTCGTTTCCAAGAGCATCCTTGGCAACTTGACCACCAGCGCCGGCACCGGAGCTATTATGTTTTTCCAATCAATCAAAATAACCATGTCAAAGAGCTATGGATAAATTATAGATGCCAAAATATCATTGTCAGTATGATGGCAGTTGGGATACAACATGACTGTTCACTCACATCCCGACAAACACTCAATATTAGAGATCAAGAGTTCTTGTTGAACCTTTTAGTGGTGAAGAAAAAATTCAGAGTGTGAGGAGAAAGGGGGTTCTCTCTTGAGTAATGCTATTTAGAGAGTGTCTCAGAAAATGATGTTAGTTTTGTGTATCTAAATAGTAAATAGCATTATTGTTTTCTATTTGGTACAAACTTCTCAATGGATGTAAAACACTTCAAGAAAAATTAGACTTCTAGCAGTTAAGCAGTGCTCATTCGATATCAGCGGACCAATGAGACTAACAGCTCATGAATTTTTTTTTTAATTTATTATTATTAAGGAGAGGGGGAAGGGTTTGAAAGTATTACAATAATTATGGGATGAGTTTCGGACCCGAGACACATCCTAAGCTGAGTTCAACACTTCACTATGATATACAAGATAGTAAGTAATCTAATTACAATATTAAGCACTAAATATCACCACCAATCAGCACACATTACATATATGTAAAAGATGAAAAAGGTTAAAAAAAGGAGAGTGATTTTTGCACGCCTTTTTTGTCTCCCCAAGTACACATGTTTATTTTCAGTATTTGAATTGAATAAACTAAAGAAGTATTAAATGACAAAATAATTCGAAGTGTGCAGAAAGAGAAAATGAGTTTGCGGAGGTCATTTCCTAATAACCTGTAAATATGGAAAGGGGTAACGTGGGAAGGAAGAAAACTCACCCAGGTGGAGCAAAGAAAGTGGCATAGGGAACCAACATGAAGCCAGTGGGAAGTGAGATAGCACCTAGAAGAAGCAGATTCATAAGCTTCCTCTTCTCCATGTCTGGCACTCTATCAGCAGCAATACTGCCTGCCTGGCAAGTGACTCTCATTCCCTTTCCCTTTCCCCTTCCCATCATCTGTGTTCTCTTGCTGTTCACAGCAAAGCCATTTGCTGATGAGAACATTGCACTCTTGCTGGAACATAGCTGAAAAAACAATCAAACACATAACAAAAGATGATTTCTCATTAATTCTAGCTTTAAGTACCCTCTAAACCCACGTCAGGCAGTTCACTTACAAGAGATTAATTAGCTAATCAATAGGGTTTTGGTTTTAATTACCTGGGAAGTGGTTGCAGGAGAGAGAGTTAAGGAAGCCATTGTAAGGAGATTGCTTGGAGATCAAACTGTTAGCTGCTTCATTTTTTTGTGTGAAACATGGTTTTGAAACGACCACAGCCACCAGTGGATAAGGCGCATGGTAAAGGGGCGCCACATTACCACATGTTCGTGATCAAGATTCTTCTAGCTACTTTGATAGAAGAAAAAAAAAATATATATATATATATATATATACACATATTCGTTTGCCTTTAGAAAGGAACAAATTGATGGGCTGACTAACCCAAGATTGGTAGGGTATGGAAATATTACAAAGCTTGTGAATTGTAGTATTGGGCCATTGTGATCTTCACTGACAAGCATACATTACTGGGTTCGCTATTGGGCTTTGCCTAAAATTCCTATATGAGAATTGGGATTTTCATTTTATTGGCAATGCGTTGTATTTAGGGTTAATCCATTTACACAGGTGTATAGATTCTCTCACTTGCCTGTTGATCAACATGTAAAATAATACAAAAGTAAAATTATACTACTAATACAATAAAAAATGATAAAAACACATAATTTTTAGAAGTTAGAAGCTAAGAAGAGTTAAGTGAAAAACACCTCCCATGCAATAACTCATATTATTTAGGAGAAAGTTGAGGAAAGTTATCATACCAATATATACAATAACTCTTATAATATTATATTGAACATTGATGTAGTTAATCATGTACACATCATGTCCTATTATCTTGTGAATTCTGAGTTGTATTGTGTCCAATATTGCTACACCTTTGTGACTTGTTCAACATACTAGGAATATTAATGAAAAATAGAAATTGTTGAATTAATTTGGTAACAAGTGACAGTGTTTGATCGCTATCACTATTTCATGATTCACATAAACCAAAAGTCAAACACCGAATAGACAATTCAGCACAACCCTCTCTTTTTTTTCTTTTTTGTTTTTCCTTCTCAATTGCAAACCAACCCTGAGTCCTTGACAATAAAGCAGAGAATGATGAATTGTCTTCAACTTTCACTTCAAATGATGGGCTTGCATGCTCTCCCTTTATCCTAATTCAATAGCTTATTGCAACCAAGTTTTGACATCCTCTCTCTCCCTCTGTCCCTCTTTCATCCATTCATATACTCCCCTTTCAAATTGGTAAACATATAAGAAAATATTAGGGAGATCATGGTAAAAATTATACCATCAACCGCTATATTATGTGCTTTACAAAATACGGTTCAAGTAGACGATTTCACTATTATCACCCAAAAAAAAACATAAATACAACTAATCATAATCTTATAAACAATCTCTGCTTTTGCTTCTAGTTTCTTTTTCATATGGTTATAAGGCAATTTTTACCATATGCTATATATACATATCCATACATACATACATATGTATATATATATATGTATATGTATCCATAGTACTGCTACTTCATCATGATTTTTTTTCCCCAGTCTACAGGCGAGCACCGTAGGGAAAAAGCTTTTGGTGCACTGATCCAGAAGCTAATTAAGCTAGTCCTTAGGAAATGAGTATAAACTTGTATTGACTATAGCTGTTAGCATGTTAGAAAATAGATAATAAAGAAAAGAGTATATATTAACAAGAGTGTTCTTCTCTTGGTCACTATGAAGTATGGACCATGGATTGAATTCTAGTGGGGCAACTAAGGATGCATACAGTGTAGGTATCCTTACAACAAAATTCAATGGTTGACATTTCATTTAAAATCTACCATTGAATTTTGATTAACTGAAATCTATGGTGTTTAATTTACTCAAAAAAAAAAAAAAATTGCACGCCTATTTTTCTTAATATTTCCCCTTAAATACTATATATGTGTGTGTGTATGTGTGAGATCAGGTAGAGTTTTTTTTATCCCTCCCGAGCTGTTTTTGTGGTAGGTTCGCATGCAGTATACTGCCAATGAATTCTCCACAGTAAGATAAAGAATGAGTATAGCTAGGTTTTCACTTTTGTCCCAAAGTAGAACAAGGTCCACTTTGCCTGTCTCCACCATGAATTTGCAAACGCAAAAAAAAAATATATTAATGATGATGTTTTCTGCATGGGGGTGTGGCGTGAAACATACACTCATCATGTGCTTCCATCTCTCTCTCTCTGCCTTCTCAACATCACTCCAAGCGTGCATTCTTCACCTGTTCGCTCTTTACCACTCTCGTTCTTTTTACAAAACTCCTCCATTAACAACTTAATAATCTATCAATCTTTCTTTTAAGCTTATTTGGACAGTACACGGCTCACTACTTAATCAACATTGACATTGCCCTTATTTTAATTTGTACAATTCAATAAGTATAAGCTTTTATATAGAAGATCTCGATTCATTCAGTATAAATTATTTTATTATTCAAAAAAAAAAAAAAATCAATGTAAACCATTCAATTCAATTAAGTTGTTTTAATATTAAGTGTCTAGTGTGAGACATGCTTCAACATATATGGCTCTAAAAGTACTAGGAGGGACCTTATATATTCTATGTATATTGGTCTTCCAAAGCGTAAGAAAGAATAGTTCTTTGTGTTTTCTTTTGCTTTCTCTCGCACCAATATTGTTGAGAACTAAAGAGAATCCATTGTTTTCGTCAAAGATGAAGACACCCAACAAAGAAAGTAAAAGAAAGTAGGAAGAAAAGAAGAAAAATATATAAGGTACCCGTATCAATGATTAAAAGTAGGGTTTCGAGATGGAGCAAGCTTGAAGCAACCCAAAAAAAATGGAACGTTCTTCAAAGCAATTAGGGAGGCATTTCGATTCAAGTGATAAAACAAACACAAAATTAAAAGTTATTTGGCTTCTTCTGGTATCCCAAACTTTTTGTCTCCCCCAACTAACACGAAATTAAGATCGATTTTAGTTTACTATTACTTATGAATGACTTGCGGAATGGATCACAAGTAGAATCCTATGGTAAGGTCATTACTCAGAAGTTGAAATGTGGATGGTATCTGTAAATCATGTGAAGTTTAGATCCTTTTTTCATGCAATCTAACGGTGGTATACAATAACTTGGATTCTCAGAAGTTGAAATTGACTATTGTAGGCACAATCCCTGTGGTTGATGTTAAATCATTATAATTTTTGAGTAATGCAAAAAGATTCTCTCAAAAGAGGAATTATCTATAAAGTCTCTACTGTCCTATATTTTTTCCACAATGTTTTATAATGTTGTCATGAAAATTGACGTAAAACGTGAGGTAGCAAAGAGTCTATGAATAAACATTGAGAGTCGCTTAACATTTCTCTATATTTAATTCTCAATTTTGTTTATCATATTGTAAATAGGGGTGTGCTATCCACACATCCCATTTTACTTCTCACACATCCCTTGATAATTTCTGTCCATTGATCTTCTTCAATTTATACGACCCGACGGTCGAAAATTTAAACGATATGTGAGAAGTAAAATGGGGTGTGTGGATATCACATCCCTTGTAGATATTGAACAAAATTTGGCACAATGTGGTCGTGCCTTACAACTGTACTGGTGCAACTATGGTTGTTTTCTACGTCAAGGTCGAAGTAGATGAAGTTAAATACTATTTCGTCGAGCATTTTAGTTCTTGAGCATTTTTATTTTAGTCAATTGAAATACTAACATGAGCTATTACGTGGTAACTTTTAAAATGGTTCAATAGTACATTGGAACTTTAACATGAAGGCAGTTAGTTAAGAGTTCACATATGGGAGAGATTTTTTAATTTGATTGGAACACGAAATGATACACAACGTAGTCACTATATCAATAGTGGAATATGTGTGCTAAAAAATTAATAACCTAAAAAATACAATTTCTCACTACTTATATAAAAACACGTGATGTACCATCTACATTCCCGTCACAATGAAAATTTTCTCCACATATGGACGTCCTACTATTTATTATGTCGATATTTTATAAGGAAAACTAATGAAAATAGTTTGAAAACTTTTAGTTTTAACGATAAGGACGAAATAAAGGATAAAGTAAATACTATCAGATTTGACTTTTTAGTGTAAAAATATAGTTTTTCGTTAAAATGAACAATACCGCGAACTTTTCGTTAAAACTTTATATTTTATAGTGATTAGGCAACGATCTATTTCACCGCTATAAAAAATTAATACAAGTACATAAAGGCAATGATCGATGACCCAAATCCAAGGAAGATGACCAGAGGAACACAGGGTAATCAAATTTCAAAGATACTTGTGACCAAAAGAAAATTTCTTAGGACGTTCCGTAAAACAATTGCGCGACATGATGACAATCTATTATTATGTACTAGGGTGTGATATCCACATATCTTATTTTACTTCTCACACTTTTTTTTAATTTTCGGGCGTCGGATCAGATGAATTGTAGAAGATCAATGGACATAAATTATCAAGGGGTGTGTGAAAAGTAAAATGAGTTGTGTCGATAGCACACCCCTATGTACTATTAATGCAGCTGGGTTGCATCTTCTTAAAATAGTAGAGATTTTTTATCGTGCTCGGAACATGGGGTGTCATATGTGCTCGTTTTTCGGGTATACGAGAAAATCTCTCTTTGAATGATACATTGTTTCTTTTTCTATTGTTCATTTGAGTAATGTTATGTAGATCAAATTTGTAGACCGAATTTGCAGACCAAATAATATGTTACCAATAAGAAATAAGCACGCTAATTAACACTTAAGAAATAAATCAACCTTTTACCACCAAGGCATCTTGAAAGTGAATCGTATTCATGCATATGATACCTATACAGTGCGATGCTCGTTTTCCAGGGCACACACATTGTTTCTTTTTCTATTATTTTTTAGTAATGCTAGGTAGACCAAATTTATGGATCAAATTTGCAAACCAAGTAATATGTCATCAATAATAAATCAATACATTAATCAACACTTAAGTAATAGTCTAAGCATCAACTTTGATGTCATTTAATTTACAAAATATAGTCTCACTAGCATTACCCTATTCATTTACTCTTTCCACTTATCCTAGAATGGCACATGCCAAACAATCTTTATTTTGATCTGGTTGGCACATTGCTAATGACACATGCCAAACAATCTTTATTTTGATTTGGTCATTTTCAAATTTTATTAATTATATACGATTCCAAGACTATATGAGGTATTGGTGATCTTCAACAATGTCAA